ATCTACAAATAGGCTAGGAAAACTAATTACTGAATTTAGCGAGATTGTATAGTACAATATGAATGTACAAAAATTTCTTGCATTTAGGTTGTAATGAACACTTAGTGAAATTTTTAAATTACATCATTTAAACTATAATAAATAAAATAAAATATTTATTATAATAAATAAAATAATAAATAAAATAAACTATAATAAATAAATGAGAGATGAGCAAGATTTGTGTATTAAAAACTACAAAACATTACAAAAGGAAATTAAAGAAGACTAGTAAGTGGAGAGATCTACATATTCATGGATAGAAGATCAATGTTGTTAAGTCTGTTCTCCAATTTGATCTGTAGATTCAAGGCAATATCAATAAAAATCCTAAAAGGATATTTTTAAAAAATTAACAAGCTTATTCTAAGAGTTATGTCTAAGATTCTAAATAACTGTGTTAAACCTAATAAACAAAACCTATAAAACTTTATAAGTAGATTCTTCACTAACCATTCAAAGACATTTAAAATCTGAATCAAGTGCTTTTATGTTTTACATATTTAAAATTAATTTTTAATTTAAATTAAAGGCATGAAACTAGATTCTAGGTGAATTTAGAAATAATACAAAGATACTTAATATTAATATTGTGGGCTTCCTTTACTTATCTAAATTCTTATTTTATTACCTCTCCATATTTGCAAAAGCCCTTACCAATAAAGGGGAGTGCACTTAGCACTTAGAAAGGTTGAGAGTCTTGGGTTGAAGATTCAGGTCCATGACATGCTCAAGTATTAGATTATTGGTTAAAGGCATGAGACTAGTGTGCAAATATAGGCACCACATCCAGACTGATGCTACCTGAGACACAGGTTAATGCACAGAGCCCCTTCTTATCTTGGAGACTTTTTTTCCAAGCCTTCATCTTTTTGTGTATCACCTTCACTCAATCCCTTTATCCGTTCATTCTCTTCCACATATAAATATAACTATATATATACTGACACACATATATACACACATACATATGTGTATGCTTGTGTATGTATACATATGTGTGTGTAAATATATGTGTTTTATTTTACATTAACTGCCTTTATAACCTTCAATTGCTTGATTTGGGTAGAATTTTGCCCTCTCCCCCAATCCTGAGCTCCTGCTTCCCTCTCTGCCCCATCCATGGCTGCTGACTACTGTGCTGCATGATTAGAGTTTATTTAATTGTGCACACTCATGCATGCACACGCAGCATCCAGGTACTGACACTCCTTTCATAGTTTGTTTCATTATCTGGCCTAACAATATATTCTAGCCAATATATTGATCCATTTCATTTATCTGTTGTTGGTCTATACCTGCCAATATCACCTAGCAACATTCTACTTTCCTCATTTTACAGACGAGCTTCCTAGGTTTGGCAAAGCAGTGGGCTCTGCCCAAATCTACCATTCGCTACCTGGTGCCTTGCCCCAGGCTCCCATGGACCGAATGCTGTATTTTCCACTTCTTCACTCAGCCAAGGCTTATCATCCTCAGCTATAGACCCAGGCTGTTTTTAGTTTCTTCATCAAACTGTATCTGTCCTAGCTAATTTCTATCAAACACCTTTATGCTAAGAAGCAGAATTAAAGTGTAATGAGTAACATGTGCCTTTCCACATGAGCCTGTAATATGAACCCCTAGGGAATGAGATGGGAGCTAGATTGCCAACGCTGTTACAGGTGTAGGTGTTTGGGGACTGTAGTGGGAGGACAGAAGAGATCCGGTCATTTGGGGATAAGCCGGCCTGCAGTATCCAAAGATCATGCCTTTAGGCTCCTGGGAGTAACTGATGTTGCAAAGTCTGGGGCCCAGGAGCCCCTCCCCCACCAGGAAGCTCAGTCCCACAGCTAGACAGCTCTGTTACCCAACACCCAGCCTGCTGGGAGCAGCCAGCCACCCAGTTTATGCTGTCGGTGATCTCATTAGAATGAACGAGATGAGTCAACATTCACACAAAGACCTTCTGGCCTGCAATCTGAGAACAGGTTTAGGAAGAACAAAGCAAAGGGGAGAAATGTAACCAAGAACTATCTCTTTATTGCTTTTGAGTTGTTTAAGGGGGTTTTAAAGGATTAAGGCTAAAGAAATGTTGACTGTAGGGAGAGGAGCAGGATATCAGCTGAACAGAATAGAGGCCTTTGTGCTGACTAAGAGGAGAAGCACATTAAAGAAAATCTCAGCAGCCTGGCTGCTCGCAGGGGAGAGAGCTGGAAGTCAAAGGTGGATAGAATGCCAGGTTTTCAGCCTGGAGGGAGAAGTCAAGGTATAGAGAGACCTGTAGGGTGGCTGTGGGTTATGAGTAGGTAGCTGAGGACTACCAGAGTTCCCCAGCCCCTCCTTCCAATCCACTCCCAAATTTTTGACCAAACCCTGGGAGGAACCTCACCATAAGCACTGGACAAAAAGAAGGGCTAAGCCCTAGGACATACGGAAGCAACATGCCAGGTCATCCAGAGACACTAAGGGTCACAAACAACTTCAATGAGGCATAAGATGGATCTTAGAGTATGACAGGTTCCATCCCATCCTTTTTTCTCTTTTGTCATATTTTCTTCTTCCGGGTAGGACTTTCTGTTTCTCTCATGGCATCAGCCTGTGCCTTTCCGTGCTTCTCCACTCCCTCCATCTCATTCATGTCTGTTTCTCAGTTATCCTCTGGAGATGTTTCCCCCCAAAGGGGTACTAGGGCTACTACTCCTAACTCCCTCAAATGGAGGCACAACCAGGAGGGGATTTCCACCGTTGAGAACTTTCCACACCACCTCCGTCTCTCCCCACCGGCCACACACCCACAGTCAAAGGAATAAAGAACAAATAAGGGCTCTGGGCAAAGAAATGATTTATGTTCTTCTTTTAAGTGAACAGCCTCAAAAAGCCCAATAGTACTTTCTATTTTTATCCCTCACCAGATGTTACCGTCCCATTCTTCCAGCAAGCCTGCCAGGTAGCGTTTACCTTCATTGGAAAAATTCATCATAGCCCTGGAGATGGTGGGTGGCAGGGGAATGCCCTTATTCCTACCCTCCATACTGAGCTGACTGCCTTAAAACTATCCATATTCATTTCCTTCTTCAAAGTCTACTCAGAACTTTCCTTATTGTTGGAAGTCTTATCTCCCTCCCTTCCTCTCTCTGTCTCTCTGATTGGTCCAGCCATGATCACATGATGTGACCAGGTCTGCCTTCCCTCTGTACCATTCATTCGGAGATGGGTTGAGGCTCCAGCCACCAGGAAGCTGTGCGGGCCGGGGAAGATCGCTGCTTACCTCAACTTTCAAATGACAGGCGGTGGGGGAGTCAGGTCACTGATTCAAGTTGGAGTTTCATGTGGCTCCTTTGAGGGCAGGGACATTTAAATCACCCAGGAAGTTTTGTGAAGCATACACTCTTATCCAGGATGTGCACTGGAATGACTGATGACATTTTAAAACCTTAATTTCACATAAACATCTCTCCAGACTAGAAAATTCTGATGTCATGGTTTTGAGGCAGAACTTAGAAATTTTACTTTATTCTTTTCTTTTCTTGTTTAACTTCCCTGATGATTACTGATTGATTGACAAACAAACTGACGTAGATCTCCTTGCTTGTGTCTCCAATACGAAGTGAAACGGAAGTATCTAGTTACTGCCTCATTATTAAGTTTCCATGAACAACCACAATGACCAAAGAGGATAAATCTTGACAAAAAATTAAAAGAGAAACCTGTAGGCTCTCTTCTGGGCCCTGATCTTTTGCTGGAAACTTAGGTAAGGCTTCAAATTTCAGCAGCCAGAGCCAAAGACCATCTATACTCACTCAGACAGTTTAGTTTATCCACTCTGACAAAAGCTTTAATGGAGAAGAGGAACACCCAGATGCACAAGCAAGCAACTTGCCTGTCTCCACTTTGTTGTAATTCCTTAGAAGTTGATGAAAAGAGACTTGTCAGGCATTGAGGGTCGGGTTGATCTCCTGGAGCTACAGTCATCTTAAGGAAGAGGCTGCACTCAAGGTGAGCATGGGTAGCACATACTCAGTTAACCATGGCTGAGACTAATGGTTACTAGGCCATGAGGTGTCAACTTTAGAGTTTTGTTACGTGTCTTCCCCTGTTTAGGTTGGCCCTTGCTATGAAGTTCTAGGACCTTCACAAATGCATCAGCCTCAGGAGAAAGCCCAGGAGAGAGTGGCATAGGATGATTCAGAGAGATGAAGGGGGCCTTCATTTGGTGAGGTTTTGTAGACTAGCATAAGGCATGTTCACCTTATAATATATGTGTCAGGAAAGCTTCAGAAGGATTTAATGCCCTGATTTATGTTTCTAAAAGAACATTCTGGTTGCTAGTATAGAGAATAGAATGTAGACGATTGGCAGGAATGGGAGAAACTGTAACTTTTAGAAGACTATTGCAGAGGTCTAGGCTAGAGAATCTGGCAGCTTAGACCAGAGTGGTAGTAAAGGACATGGTGAGAGACAGAAATATTTCAAAGATCAAAATATATTTTGGAGATATTTTTATTAGACTTGCTGATGGATTGGATATGGAGAGTGAGTGGGTGAGTGGTGGCCAGGTGTGGTGGCTCACACTTGTAATCCCAGCAGTCTGGGAGGCTAAGGCGGGAGTATTGCTTGAGCTCAGGAGTTGAGACCAGCCTGAGCAAAAGTGAGACCTCATCTCTACTAAAAATAGAAAAATTAGCCGAGCATGGTGGCACATGCCTGTAGTCCCAGCTACTTGTGAGGCTGAAGCTGAGGATCTCTTGAGCCCAGGAGTTGCAGTGAGCTACAATGACGCCAGTGCACTCTAGCCAGGGCGACAGAGAAAGACTCTGTCTCAAAAAAATAAAAAAGTAAAAATCAAGGAAACATAATCCTCCTCCTCACTGTCCCCCTCCATATTGAAATTTTTTTTAAAAAATGAATTTAGCTCTCGGCCCCGCAGCTGTGAGGAGGACGCTCTGCAGTCTCCGCGACCACCGACCACCGGGGCGAAAATGGGCTCAGGAGTGCAAGTTGCTGATGAAGTATGTCGCGATTAACATGAAAAGTTAGAAATGCTCCACACCAGAAGAAATCAAAAAAAGAAAGAAGGCATGTTTTGTCTCAGTGCAGACAAAAAGTGCATCATTGTAGAAAAGGCAAAGAGATCTTGGTTGGAGATGTTGGTGTAACCATAACTGATCCTTTCAAGAATTTTGTGGGAATGCTTCCTGAAAAAGATTGTCACTATGCTTTATATGATGCAAGCTTTGAAACCAAGGAATCCAGAAAAGAAGAGTTGATGTTTTTTTTGTGGGCACCAGAACTTGCACCTCTGAAAAGTAAAATGATCTATGCAAGCTCCAAGGATGCAATCAAAAAGAAATTTCAAGGCATAAAACATGAATGTCAAGCAAATGGGCCAGAAGACCTCAATCAGGCTTGTATTGCTGAAAAGTTAGGTGGGTCCTTAATTGTAGCCTTTGAAGGATGTCCTGTGTAGATCATTCAGTGCCACAAATTGAAAGCTTCCATGTTTAATGTTATCCTCTTGCTATATAAATAAAGCAAAAATATATTTAGGCCAGGGTCTCACTGAGGGGGAACTGTCTTGTCATCTTTTAGAGTAAACTAAATATTCTATGAACTTTTGCAAAACCCTAAAAATCTAAATTCTAAAGTTTAAAAAAAAATGAATTTAAAAGTTCATGACCAGCCTGAGCAAGAGTAAGACCCTGTCTCTACTAAAAATAGAAAAAATTAGCCGGTGTGGTCATGTGCCCCTATAGTCCCAGGAAATCTGGAGGCTGAGGCAGGAGGATTCCTTGAGCCCAGGAGTTTGAGGTTGCTGTGAGCTAGGCTGACACCATGGCACTCTACCCCAGGTGACAGAGCCCCCCCCCCAAAAAAAAGAAAGTGAAGGGAAGAAAGAAATCAAGGTTGATTTCTATGCTTTTATACTTGAGGAAGTGGCTGGATGGTTGTATACTTTACTGGAATGGAGAAAACTTAGGGAGGAGTAGGCTTGGGTGGGTGGCGTGGGTGGTATGAAGATATAGAGAACCATGAGTCCTGTTTTGGCCATGGTAAGTTTGAGATACTTAAACTGTCAAGTGGAGATAGCAAGTAGACAGTAAAATATGTCTAGAATTCTCATGATGGGCCAGGGCAAGAGGTATGAATATGGATTCATTACCATATAAATAAACCTTATTTCTAAGGTTTCAAGGCATGACTGCATTATCTATAGTGAGAGAATAGATGGAGGAGAGATGCAAACTTGGGATCCGGCTATGGTTCACTCCAAAATTTCAAACAGACCAAAGGGTCTGTTATGACCCAGGGTAATGATCATCATTTAAATGGATAGAATGTAATACAAAGAGCTATTAACTGGATACAATATTATTAATTAGGTTACAGAGAGGTACAAAGACCAACAGTAAGATATCATAGACCAGCGGTCCCCAACCTTTTTGGCACCAGGGATCGGTTTCATGGAAGACAATGTTTCCACAGACAGGTTGGTGGAGGGAGGCAGAGCTCAGGTAGTGATACAAGCAATGGGGAGTAGCTATAAATACAGATGGAGCTTTGCTTGCTCAACTACCACTGCTTACCTCCAGCTGTGCAGCCCAGTTCCTAAGTTTCACAGTCATGGAAGGCCAGGCAAAGACATGGTCTGAATCTTCGGAGTCCTTGACTTTTCTGATTGCTGAAGTTTTCTATTAACTTTTCCTATTGGACATGAAAGTACAGTCATATGCCACATAAACAATGGACCATATAAATGATGGTGATCCCATAAGATTATAATATTGTATTTTTGATGTACCTTTTCTATGCTTAGATATATTTAGATACACAAATCCTTACCATTGTGTTGAATTGCCTATAGTATTCAGTACAGTGACATGTTGTACAGGTGTCTAGGCTAGGAGCAATAGGCTATACTATATAGCTTAGGTATGTGGCAGGCTATGCCATCTAGGTTTGTGTAAGTACACTCTGTGATGTTTGCATGACAAAATCACCAAATGATGAATTTCTCAGAATGTATCCCCATCATTAAGCAACATATATCTATACTTAGAGATGCCCCAGGGAATCTTTTATGTTCCAAACATAGTCAGTCCTTCATGTTCCTGTTGAGAAGTAGCAATTCAATTCCTTCTTGGTAATTGAAATCGATACCCTATCTCCACAAAGAAGGTAAGGTAACCCCCTTCCTTGTCTGTTGGGTCTTTGGCATGACAAGCTCAAAATGGCCAGGCAGTTTCATCTACTAGTCCAATGCAACTACTGTGTCCCTTTGTGGAAGCATTCTTTTCTTGGGAATGAATATTTCAAAATCAACAGAGCTCAACATGTTGGGGATGGGAAACAAAAATCCTATGAGTGGGCTATTAGATGTAATAGTGAAAGGACCCACTCCTGTTTCTACTTTCTGATTTCCAGACTCATGTATTTTGGCCCTGAATTTTCATGGGGTTTATTTCCCATTCTCTGATTTGAATAACCTTGCTAAGGTATTTAAATTACTGCTACTTTTGGTTCATCAGATCAGATCAGAATAATGTTATTAATATAGTAGACCAGTGTGATGATATTAAGATGATCAAAGCCTCTCCAACCTATATTATGGCAGAGAGCAGAAGAACTGATGGAGCCCCAAGGCAAGTTTATTAAGGCATGCTATTGGTCCTGCCAGATAAAAGCAAACTGCTTCTGATGATCCTTACCAGTTAGAATGGAGTTTGCTAGGTCAGTACCTACACACCAGGTACTATGTGCTACGGTGATTTTTTTTCCCTCTTAAAGTTACTATATCTAGAACCACAACTGCAATTGGAATCACTACCTAATAAAATTTATAATAATATACAGTCATTCTCCAACATCTATCTTTCCTGTTTGCACTGGCAAACAGGAAAGTCAAATAGGGTTTCACCACCCCTACATCTTTTAAGTCTTTGATGATATGGCTAATGGTATATATTAATAATATTGTTTTTGTGTTTACTATTCCTGGTAGAAAGGGTAAGTTCCAATGGTTTCCATTTAATCCTTCCAACTATGATGGTCTTTATTTCATGGGTCAGACAGCCAAGACTGGTATCCTTTCAGTTACAGTTGGATATGTCTATCCAATTTACATTCATTAACTGGGAAATAACTACACAATTGGTTCATGGACATATTGGGCCATCTGTGATTTGAAATTGATTTATGACTCCTTATGTCACCTGGCCACCATTAGCCCTTATTTCCTTGGTGACACAGTGGCATTTTGAGTCTCCAGGAATTGGCCCTCAATTCAGAGCCAGTGCCTACTAATCCCTGAAAGATTTCCATAATTCCCCTTTCTCAATGAGGAATTCTGATAAATCATTCTTATGAATTATTCTAGTAAATAGCATAAAATTTATTTAGGGGAAGGCTTCAGTAGGTGCTTCAGTACAATCAAACACAAGTGATAATTTTTTTAATCATGATGTCACAACATGCTTGGATATTAGCATCTCATTTCCCATTTGCAAGAAACCCAAAGCTGTGCCTAAACCAATCCCAAAATACTGTCTCTGAGCGTCTACTTCCTGAGGCTACTTTTGGTACCAATTTCTGCATGAGTCAGGGACCATCCAGATAACAGACTGCACCATTATTTAAATAAAGGGAATGTGATTTTAAAAAGTATACATTTCTTAACTAGCCAACTGAAAGGGTAAATCCTAACACTTAATGCAACATAAAGGTAAGAATTACAGGAAGTTTCTATCATTCCCAGGGCTGAGGGAAGAGGCTGAAAATAGTAATGCTTAGAAACTTACAGGAAGGGCACCAAAGAGCTGAAACTTAAAGGTCTAAAGAGTAGGCAGTACTCAGCTGGTATTGGTGTCTCTGAGCTCAGAGGAGGGTCCCTGTGAACTTGTGAACTGGACCTTTAAACAGGGGACACCAGACAGCCAGTGGTGATGTTTCTGAAGTGAGGCACGATAAAGCTAGTCTGCAAGTATTGGAAAAGCTGCAAACTTGATTTACCTACTCCTATTATAATAATTTCAACCTCTTCCTTTAGTTACTCCAATTTTTCCTGTTATATAGATTAACTAATATTTTAGTAGGCTCTTCATCTATTTTATTCCTGGGGATACTGTGATTAGTTAGCTACTATCAAAGAATACTAGGGGTCTAAATATCCTGATCGTCTCTCCACTCCTGCTTCCCATTACTATAATAAAAATGTGTCTACCCCATCTCTGGTAGTTAAGGGCTGCCACTTGCTATCTGCTACACCCAAATCTCATGATCTTATTGAAATCTCAATGGCACAAGTTCCATTGTCTTACCTACCACAGACTTTAAAGAATACTGCTGTTTCCCTCATGAACATATTTCCCAATTTCTTCATGAAAATTGTGTTCCTTTGCTTTCTAGGAGGATGTAGTGGGAGAGGGGAGTATGAAGGTCACTCAGGGTAAAACCACTCCAACATTCTCACTCTCTTTGTATTCCTTCCTCTGCATTATGTCATAGGTATTCTGGCATCTGTTGAGTCCAAAATTCAATGAACTAACTAAGTAAACTCTTAGAGCCTCTTCCAGCTACTCAGGCTAACATACTAAATACAGAATCTCTAGTAAGACCACTCATATCAAAATTAACCTATCAGATACCATTTCCCATGTTAAAAAAAAAAATTAACCTGATCTAAATTTGGAATCTATTCCTTGGAATCCATTCCCACATATATTCCTCATGTTATTACTGATTTAAATTAGCAAAATCTTGCAATTCTTTTGGAGTTAAAAGCTCTTAAGTCAAACGTTGTGTTTCTCTCCCTGGACCACGCAGAGATCTGACCCCAACTATAGGTGGAGGAAACAAGGGATTGTTGGGATGGGTCATGATATTGTTAAGAGGTCTTAGAGCAATGAAAATCTATTCTCCTTAGAATAGAGGTCAGGTTGCTTTGACTGGCAAAAGAAAGTTCAGAATGACTCAGAGGTTCAAGAGTCTCGATTTCATCTAACTTTACACAGATATCCCCATTCCAAGTCTCCGCATCCTACTACTTTCCAATAAATGCTCTAATTTTCACATAAGAGATGTGGTAAGGCTGTGGATTATACTTACATAATAATTCTGCAAACCGCACTATTCCATTTTGCATTCATTTTCAGAGAAGTCAGTCCTGTGGTGACAGGAAGTGAGAATCTTTAAGGCTGCCTTAGAAATTTCTAGTTTTCTGACTGTAACTTGAGCTGGGAGTTCATAGACCCAAATGTGTCATTTTCTGTCTATAAGCATTAGAGTATATTCAGAAACAACCCTCCTACTCCATGGTCCTTGTAGCCATCATTACTAGTAATACCATTAATGTCAATTATTCTAATTGTCAGTGGGTGCTCCATCATAACAAACACAGGTGACAGTTGGGTTATTTGCATCACCACTACATGCCGTGAATTACTATCACCCCCTTTCTCACTGGCAAGGACCCCAGCACTGCATTCAAGTTCAAGAATAGGACTCAAACAATATTTTATCTTTGAAAGTCTTTCCCCTGGGACCACTCCTGGCATCCA